TCAATTGCGTCCGTACAGCTACTGCATGCGCCTAACTGATCTGTAGTCTATAAGCTACTTTGACAACGGCCGTTTTGCTTCCGACATTTTCTGCCATGGCTTTTCAGAGACTGCATCAGCGCAACTGCAAAAGTTCAATGGTTCAGTCGTGCATGGTGGGATAAAAAGCATAACTTTACAAGACCCACAGGATGGATAGGCAAAAGAAATTAAAACCAAAAGGTTCCAACGTGGAACGTAAAATATCAGTGGTTAAATCATTGCACTTTAGCAAAGTGTTGTGTATCATTTATCACTAAGATGAAAATCTAAGTGTGTTTCGAATGTCTGGTGCGTTCACCACATAGTTTGGTAATGCATTCCAGTGAGAACAGATTCTAAGTGAGAAAAAGTACTTTCTACAATTCAAACGAGAGTGTTGTGTCATTAGTTTCAGATGGTTGCCTCGGTTTTGTTTGTATGGGGCTAGAGTCAACAGTGATGTACATGGATGCTCTCTTTCGGTTAGTATCCGGTATACGAGAGTAAGATCTCCGCGAAGCCGTCGGTATTCTAATGAGAACACACCGAGTACACGAAGACGCATCTCGTAACTTATACAGGATAGTCCACGCGTTGCCTTTTGGGCTCTTCTTTGGAGCTGTTCCAAGAGGCGGATGTTTTGTTTTAACCATAGCCACCAGGCTTGAATTGCATATTCAACACGAGGACGAATGTAGGAGCTAATCAACAATGGTACTAGGCGTCGCTCAAAAGTGCCGAGAGCTCGCCTCAAAAGTCTCAAGTCCAAAACGCTTAGAAGAGTAGAAATCAACGTTATTAGAAAGTAGTTGGTAGGCCAGCTGCTGACAAATTCCGTATAAAACAAGAGGAATAGCCTTTGATTCCATATTAGTGCAATCATATTCCTCTGCGGAGAGCGCTGGTAGAAAATAACCAGTGGTTAGCTTAGATCCCCGGCTGAGACCTGCAAGGTCTTAGATCGAATGTTATTTACCTCATGAGAAATCTGGGAAAGCATGTGTAGCTGTTTCTCCAACACTGTTTTTGCAGTGTATGGGCTGTAGGAGAAACTTATCGGTGGAGTAATGAAATGAGTAGAATATATGCACCTACTATCATCTGGAAAGTAAGCAATTAATGAAAGCGTAAATTATCTGATGCTTCCATTGCTGCTCGCCTATCCAAGTCACTTGTAACAAGTATTGAGAGCACTCGTTGCACCCCCAAAGGGCCATTAGGCCGCCTGAATGGGAATTTGCGATCCGTACAGAATCTCATTTTTAACGCTTAATAATGAGTCACGTTGGTCGATTGTGACATATGCATACAAATTGTAAGCTGTATCAGCTTTATAGTCCAGCTTTCCGCACTGACCTAGTTCTCGTTATTTTGGTAAAATCCAAGTACACCACCACCAATCCCAATTTATCGTTCCAAGGGAACGGCTAATGGGGTAAATGGATCTCAGGATAAATCAATTCACTTATCAAGCTAGTCTCTGTAATCAAGATGAACAGCCGCGTTTGTGAAGCCTGCTGCTTCTTTAATTTCCACCAACTTGCTATGAATGCCTTGGTGCTAGTGTTAGGGGTGCGTCGGTGTTGTTTCAAACTGAAGTTGGCTTGGTTGGCTGCTAACAGATGTTTTGGCAGGTGGGTGGTTTTGGAAATTCCCTCGGGCTACATTGCTTCACAGAAGGTTCCAGATCGCTATGTTTGCTCGTGATTCACTTCATTCTGTAGGGCGCCGCGTTTGCTGTTGTGTCGCTCTCTTTACCGGAATATGAAGACAAAGTATTCACTGAGGAAGCAGGACTACTGCTTGCGTAAGCATGTCACATCTCCCGCACGTCGGTTTTGAGTTTGGTATGAAATTTCAACTGCTATGTAATAGCAATGGGAAGATCCTTTCAGTGTATACCAACAATTTATTAATTTTAAATCATAACTTTTGTCCTTAAAGGATAAAGGAACTCAAATCAACCATTTAGTGATACCATTGATTTGTGCTTCTTCATACGGAGAATCCGATAGCCGCCGAACACAATGAACACATACGGTTTTGCTTGTTATCGATTTAGGATGGTTGCTACGGTTTTCGCTTCCTTTAAGAGATTTTTATTAGGAAAATTGGGTGTTATGCTTACGACAATCGGTGAGGTGCAAAGAGATGATGCTGAGAGATGGACAGCTACTTGCGCAACCGCTGGACTAAGCGTCACTTGAAAAATGCGACGTGCACTGAACTTTGCTAATGCGATACACATCTCAGTATAGCGAGTTGAACATCAATACTAATAGTGTCGCAGCTGGAATTCCACTGGTTTCCAGCAACTCAACATGCCTTACGGTATCAGATTATGACTCTGGCATGTTAGTGCCCACGAAAGTCAAATAATTATGCTTCCTTTTAGCGATGTCAGTTTAAGTATTGTTGCTGGTAATGACATTGAATGCAGAGACACTTAGTTAGTCATCATTACAGCAGATGGACAAATGGGTATTTTCCTGGGTTTTCTTCCGGGTTGATTTATGAGGATATTACCAATTTTATCCGCACTATGTTGTGTGCCTCTCCGAGCGATCAGTTTCGTAACCGTATGGTTAGCTACGGCTTTGCTGAATGGGATAATTGCAGTCATATCGAATGTGGCTGCTTGCTCATGGGATTTGCATTTATCAGAGTAAGTAAAACAGATACCATGTCGCAGTTAGCGAGACTGACTTTCCGTTTTGGCCTAGGGAAAAACCTCAGCATGGTCAGCCGGGGAACAGAGTATTCCTTTATCTGCTTCTAGTGGCGAGGCACTAAGACTAGCCAAATGCTCAATTTTAACTCAGTCTTTCACATGTTTTCATTAGCACAAGCATACAACGGAAGAGTCGCTTGGCACTGCATACCCGGTAAAACCAAAAATCATCAATCACCTCGTTAAGTATAGACAGTAGATCCGGCTAGCCCTGTGCCTACCACACGGACCTATTCCGAATCCCTATATTCACCGTTAAATGAAGACAAGGTCGGTGACTGCGGCTGTTGCCACGTACCATTCACATGAAGACAGAATAAGTGTTTCTCAACTTCGCTGTCAAACTCACGTGCTTTTCCTTCCTTACCTTTTTGTTGTTTCGGCACAGAAATGACGCACACAACCGCGTACTTGGCTTCTTTATTAATTGAAGGTGTCGTGCTTGAGCTATACTTAGTAACGCGCCATGCAATGGGTGGACCTCAGCGACTGATTGTCAGTTATGCCCGAATGCATTGGAACGCCACAACTTGGATCGCGGATGTATTAGAAATTTTTATGTAGGAGTAATAATGAGATCATTTAGTGGCGCGAAACTGCTTTACAGAATACATATTCGCAGTCGTTGAATCAATAAAATCACTTGACACGGAAATGTGAAAAAGTGGCTTGTTGAAGCAGCCAAGACCGAAAGACTCACGATCGATAGGATCAGTTCCGGAAACTGGTGACAACTGGATAAGGTACGATAATCCGATTCAGACGAGTGGATGATAATGATGGTGGTTGACGACAGAGCAAGGAAAATGCTTGACGAATGTCGGCTAGCTATTTGACGCTTTTACAACAGTAAGTGTAGCGAAACTAATTAGCAAAGAGAGGAATTTAGGGCACCAATACATGCTAGATTTTCTGCTTGTACTCTCGGTGTATGACTCGTTGGCTCCTGGTTTTGTGCTCTTGAACGCTAACTTAATTAGGGCGACGGCTCGATGTTGCGATCTTCCAAATTAAACAGGCGCTGCAGATATTAAACTCAGACGACCAAATTCAGCAAGTAATTTAGTACACATTACAGTGATCACCTACTCCTGGATGAACGAATATTTTGTTTCCTTTGTGCAAGTGGAAACCACATGCTCTTTTAACAAAGCATGATCACTAATAACCGGCTAAGTTGTAACCATATTCACGCAAATCAAATGAAATGATGGCTCACTTAACTTTTATCGAGAAGTGACAAGCTTTGTGTAATTAATTCGATACTTCAAGTCATCATGACTTGTCGACTTAGCGAAATTTATATTCAAGTTTAACGCGTGGTCAAAATACCAATATCTGGTAACGAAACTCTATGGATATAGTCGATTTGCAAGATTGGCAATGACACGTGTAGCATTATGATTAGCGTTAACCTAGTAAATATTTTATCGAAGGAAGCTAATAAGTATTTCAAAATGACGAGAAACACAACACTTCGACAGAATAATGTAAATTCAGCGTTTTTGCTTATTTTTGTCAGTCGTTTACATACAATTAGTGAAGTAGCTAGATTGTCAACAGAGACCTTCAAGGTGTAATATTATTGAGAAATTGAAAACAGTCAAGGTTTACCTAACTTTCGCAGACATTCCGTCTAGAGGAATATGCCCACCATTCTCAGTAAAATTAATGGAGATTGGTGAAGAATTTCGTCTATTTACGCAAAGTGGGTTTCTGCCGCCAAATTGCAGAGGCCTAAGGGAATTAAGCCTGGCAGCGGCTCTCTGTCGGTTAGTTATCCTAACAGAAGCACTGAGGTCTTACGTATGGTACAACCAAATCTGTTTAGGGAGATCGAGTCCGCTCTAATATCCTTGTGGACAGTCCCTTCTCAGTCCGACCTACGTCAACGCACAAGTAAGTACATTTAGACAAGTAAATGTATGAGGCAGTAACACGAGAGTCTGTCCTGTCTAGGTTGGATTCAAACAGCAACTTCTTAAATTACTACTAAAGTACTAAGACAACAGCGCAATAGCGTTTTTTGTAGTTAGATGGCAACGTTTTCGTAATCTCCTACCATTTTTCGTTTTTGAATAGTAGCTTTATGAACACTTTTTCTTAGGGACGTCAGTAACTCTTTCATTAATATTCCTTGCTTTTGCAATTGAGAATCGTGCTTTGATCTACTCTCGATATCCGTTTCATCTTAAGTCTTAACTACCTGTTGCAGCTCACGTTCAACCGATTCCTCATTTCCTTACAGTTAACAAAGACAGTAAGTCATTTGTTTCATCGTTTAATTACTCGGAAAACAGCGAATAGTTTTCTGCCTACTGTAACTCCACTTTTCCTAATTGGACATAGTGATGAGAATATATTTTTCCCTTCCAATCAAAAATTATATGTTGGAGTCGCAGTAATCTCTTAGCACAACCAATAGTGATGCGTGTTTCTTTAAATTGTTTCAAAGAATTGTCTATAAATTAATGAGAAGTGCTTTGTTTATCGTCATCAAATTTAGATACAACCACTCCGAACCCACCAATGGGTAAGTAGGATTGCTGTAAAAATATAATTGAACTAATATACGTTTAATATATTGTTTACACTTACTTATGCATCTTAAAAGAGGTGAAAGCGTTGCCAGCGATTATTTTGTTCTTTTCTGTCGTTCTGGATACAGGTGGTAATTCCATATTGAGTGAGTTGCTTTTCAAGTTATTCTCCATCTGGTTTGACTACTTATGGTCCCTCATTGGCACAATAATAGCAGTATATGAGTGTAAAGTGCATTTGTTGTTTAGCACCTAATGATATCATTATTTTATAATCCACGGCACGTAAACTTGTATGAATAAACAGGCACTTTTATTAAAATTTTGCGCATTACGTGAGAAAACGTATTTATAGACATAAATCAACATTCCATGTGCCATGCCAAACTAGACAATTCATGACCCTCCGTGTGAGGCCACTACATGGGATTAACTTTATACTACTCATATTCCTGTATAAGGCTTACTGTAACGCATTTTGTCTATATGTTATTAATGTGTATTTACAAGTGTACTAGTGGACAACTTGCTGTATTACCCGCAGTTTTATTGCCATCAAAGTGTATCTGTTGTAGTAAATTGCGGTGAAGAGTTGAATGGAACGAGAGGAGACTTCTCATTTAAAGCAAACAGAAATGCGAACCACCTATGCATTTGGAGACTGAGGGTTCAGAATGGAAACAGGATACGCCTGCGAGTTAGAGCCTTCCTGGTGAGTGCGATAATTTCAGATTTTTCGGCTCGGATCAAACATTTCGAGACAGCAGCTTTGCAAGGACCATGTGTCAAAGCAACGTTTGTATTAATGCAGTCGTCCTATTTTGAATTTTACTTTAGTGGTCATCACGTGGGTCGTGGCTTGTTATACTGGACGGTGGCAACTGCGATGCGAAGGTACTAGCTTTCATTGATCCTTGGGACCCACCCTATATGTACGGCGCCATCTCAACCTCTAATGCCGTGGTTGTTGTATTTTCGTCAGCGTTCGGTTCCTCTCCAGATTCAATTCAGGCGTCTTATTGGGAGGGTAAGTGATGTGTTCATTTGTCTGAATACTTCTATATCATGCTGTAGTAAGATTGCAAACCTATTATCTCCGATATTGTCTGAAATTCCTCCATCAGTATGCGATATTTTCCAGTATCTAAAACCGTTATGCGATGTCACCTTTTAATTAATAAAAACATTTTTGCAGGAATAATTGTTTTTTAAACATTTCTGCATCCAATGTGCTACTAAATACGGGATACACATGAGTCCCTATACATCTGTTAAATTGTGTTTGGCTTGCGTATGTAGTCCATTTGTCGCTTAGAAAAACTAACTACAGCCCTTGTAACATAGAATGACATTTGTAACACCAAAATTCAACTTGAAGCAGCGTTCGTTTATTCGTCCTGTATGGTGTTTGTGTAACGGATTAAAGCGGAGAAATATTTTGCGACTATTTGTCAGGGCTTGCTTGGCATAAGTGTAGACGGTGGCGAAATTCAAAGGTTTTACGCACCATCAATATTGACTGATGGATACGGTCACGTATCTATGGCAGACCAATAACTAACCAATAGAATCAAATATGTCTCAAGGATTTGTCGTACAGTAAAAGAGACGGACAGCAGAATTGAATGACACAAACGATAAGCATGCTTTTCAGATTTATGAAGGTGGAACAAGTTACATTTGAACAGTTTGGCGACCTTTCAAAATATACAAATATTTCTCTCAATTTCTGCTGCATTGTTTGTTTTTCTCACCAGTTTGGAACCCCCTTTTCGTAGTCTGGTACTTCACTGCCAATGTAACCAAGCTTATTTGTTGACAAGTCACAGTTTTCATTTGTTTCCTATGGAGTAAATACTTCATCCCTGTTTTCCATATTACCAATCAGAAGGCTTTTGTTGTCAAACACACAGAGGGGGGCCAACGTCTTCTAGGCCCAGTACTTACCTACTTTCCAAAGGGTACAAGCGCCGAAGGCTATATTTTCATCCAGCACACCATTAATGTTATCCAACATCAAGTTCAAAGCAGAAACGGTGCTGAACACGCTGCCTTTCTTGAGTAAATCCAGTTCCCTTGCAGTGGATAAAGTTCATCCCAGTGCACTGCAAGTAGCAGCCAAGAACCTAGGTCAATCACTTGCCGGATTATGATAGCCTTAGCTAGACAAAAACATAGTTCCGCCAACATGGAAACGATGTATTATAAACCTTAACATACACTAGGGAGGAAATCGATCTTATCCTGTAAATTACCGCCCGGTTGCGCTTCTAGCTCTGCTCGTGAAAGTCATGGAAGCGATCGTCGCGGACGTATTGATGGACTACTTGTAAATCTATGGCATCAAGGCGCGAAGCAGCACAGGTTTCGTTAACATCGACCATGTACCATAAATTTGCTGATCTCACGGAACAGCAGGACGGAAACTGTCGACAAGGAGACAGGAACCGATTATTTATGCATGATGTTTACGAAAGCCTTCCACACGTTGATGTACCGAATCCGGGTGCGGAAATTCAACACTACGACATCAAAGACCAATTTTAGGTTGATGTGGTAACATTCTCGGAGAACGGCATTTGGAGCTTAGAGTCAAAGCATGTCTGTCTGACAAGCCTCGAGTAGACTGCGGCGTACCACAAAGTTTGGTAGTTAGGCCTCGCCTATTCTTAGTTTTCATTAACGATGTGACGCGAGTTACTGCCTCAAAATGTTTACTCTTCGTGGAGGACGTTAAAGTTTGACGAGCGATAAAGGGAATGGACAACTACTAGATGCTCCAGCGCAACATCGAAGACGCATGGCGTTAGTCGGTAAGGAATACACTGCCATTAAATTTGGACAAGTGCCGCTTGCTCCACGTCCGCCATCAACACGGTTACATGTAAACCTTGGAATGCACGATATGCAGACAAGCACTCGGGAACATGACCTTGGTGTGCTGGTACAGGACAATTTTGATTCAAGTGGATGATATTCATTTGTGGTCTACAGTCTCTGTTAGAAGCCGACATTCGCGCATGATTTCTCCCCAAGTTGGAGCAGAGCCAGTCAATAAGTGACAGAAAATGTCCGAGGAAGAACAACGTCTGCTTAACCTGGAGCATGATTCCAGTATGGTGGAACATCGGTAGATCAACTTGGCAGATGTTAGGACGATCAGAACACCATAACAGAATCCCAAATCCGCCCACAGCAAGTTGAAACAGTAGCACGTGGCGTTACACATCACAGTGCACTTTTCTCCGACATCGACGTAACCCATCTCAATGTTACGGGCACAAAGATAGCTTTTACGTGCCACACGACGCAACAAAACCTGACAACTCCTACCAGAGCAGAAGGCTATCCGCAGCATTGTTACCAACTATCAATTCAACGCGATATCGCGCACGGGCTACTTGACAATGGGTGTTAACGCGTATCCCGCAATTCTTTAGGTAGATACGGGATTGGATATTTCCATTATTTCACAAAACATTTGGGAAACGATCGCGTGTCCTCCAGTTTTGCCAACTCCAGAATTTGAACTTGATGCATCAGAAACTACTTTCGAATTGGTTAGTGAGTTAGGCTTTTGGTAACCTACAATGAGCAAACTTTTGACTCTAGATGTAACCCATTAATCTGCTATGATTGTATTATCTGCTATCGACTGGCTAGATGAACTCAATCTTCGTAATATCCCTTTGGATAGACCGTGCTAACTGACACTGGGTATCAGCGCTTTACCCACAATTATCGATGCGAGGCTCCAGCAGACGATATCACAGCGGTTGTTTCAGCAATACGCCGGAGTTTTCTGGACGACCTCTGAATTTGTAGCGACATAAAGGCCAAGTCAAAGTTGAGAAACAATGCCAAAACTCATTATCGTCCAGAACTTCCTGTAGCGTATTCGGCCATAACCAGTGTCGTGCAAGAGCTTGATCATCCAAAATAACATTTAGCATACAACCGGTCGATTACACTGATGGATTGTTCCCATTGTGGTAGTACGCAATAATAGTTATTCCATTTTTGTATGTGCAGATTTTGCAACAGGTCATATTGAGGCCCTTAAGACGCACAACTATCCACTGCCAGCTCCAGAAGGCAATTTTTGGAAATTTTAGGTGGTAGGTTTCTTGCAACACTGGATCCAGCGGATGCGTTTCTGCAACTCGCTATTAATGATGGCTCAAAAGAATTGCTGGTAATCAACACACATCGTGGAATACTTCAGTTTAACCAAGTACTGCACGTAATTAACAGAGTGCCAATTATGTTTCAACAGTTAATGGATAGGGTGCATTAACGATGTTGAAGCTTATTTGAATAACATCTTAGTTGTGGAAGCGAATCCAGAGGAGCTGTCACTGATGCACGTCCAGGTCTTGGATCGGATAGAAGAATACTGATTACGTCTGCGATCGGAGAAATGCAGTTTACTCTAACCACAGCATAAATTCCTTGGGTTTATCATGGGTCAGGATGGAAGTCATCTCCATCCAGTGAACATATCAGATATCAATTTTTGGATGTTCGTGAGTAGTGTAAAGCTTGTAGAAAGTAGAAATCACGATTAAAATTCACGCACAATAATGTGCCTCGACGGAGAAACGAATCCCGGTTCACGAATTTCCGGTCCGCTGCTCTATCCCGTCAAGGCACATTCTTGTGCGTGAATTTTAATTGTGACTTCTACTTTCTACAAACTTTACACTACTTACGAACATCCAAAAATTAATCTACCATCGCCCATTGGACATTTGAAGGACAGGCACTTTGGTCCATTGGGAACTGACGGGTGAGTGAGCCAATGTGCAACATCACGACAGGTACTGTGAACTCATTGGCAATACGTCGCGCACCAAGCAGAAGTCATGTATTGAAATTTACGCACCTAATCGTCAGCCCTCGGTAGCTCAATGGTAGACCAGCGGACCGGAAATATCAGCTATTGTTTGCATGCTACTCCCAACAGACGTCAGTATCCTATGCTCTTCCCTTGGAATGGTTTGTGACTCCTCTAATTTCCCCTCGGATATTATCAACTTGGAGCAGCTCTAAACGCAATTTGCATTAAAGAATGCAAGTGAAACCGGTCGACCAAGTGCCAAACTGCGGTTGATGGAGTAACAGATATGTTTACATACCATCGCTTTCCCTCTCCATTTGGTCCTATACTTCGTTTATGGTAGCTGCCGATGCATGCTACTATGTCATCCGAGCTGTGTTTCTCCACGTGTTCCCAGACGGCTCTGAGGAAGCAGATACCGCCAGCTGTTTACAGAGATGGGCTCAGACGATTTAGCTTTCAATAACAATGGACAAACGATTTTGAGTAAGCTGACGTCTTGTCTCGTTTAAACGCTACTCGTCCAGCTGAAAGCAACCAGACAGTGCTTGCTAGTATTAAAATGGACCGGGAGATCAATCGGGTAAATCTAGACACCACGAAATGTTTTCCAGTCTCGTTAAAATCCATACAACGACACAACACAGGATTTCATATTCCGTAAAGTGAAGAAGTACGTCAAAAAGATGTTGGCGATCAAAGTGTCCGATTCCGAACTCATCTCCAATCATCGATACCAAAGAGCAGTTAATCCGTCTTTGATTCATGTTTGCTTTCCGCCGAAACTATGGTTGTCCTCACAAATTTACAACGACTCGTCCTTATTCAACTTCACAAGGAACATGAAGAAGTCACACAAACTAAAGTTCAAGCAAGTGGTTATGTTTCCTGGCGAAAAGTGGACGATAATATCATACACCAGGGAAAGCTTTGCGAAAAGTATGCTATGACGCACCGAGCGCCGAATCGTCTAGTGCCCTTACCGTAGCAGGAAACAACAACACCTTGATCTCGTGTTCATGTCAATTACACAGGCTCAGTTAACAGCAGATCATATCTGATTGTAATAGACGCTTAACTTAACTTCCCGGATGTCAACGATTTGTTGGCCTCAACCACTTAATCAACCACCATCAAGGAGTTGCGCCAGGTTTCAACTCGTTTTGCTATGCCAAAAAAACTCGTAT